CCTTTCAGCGCTCAGGCAAAGGCATCCAAGTCCGGTCATGTTCTCACGCCTCCATCGTCCAGCAAGTATCATTGTCGGCGCCCTGCTGCATCTTCTCAGTCCAACATTGTCTTCAAGAAGCCATCTAAACAAGTCATGAAGAATCACATCAAGCAGAAGTGAGAGGGATGAAAATGAGCGTGATTTCCTGACATGTATATCACACAGAGTTAGACGTATGATGTTATTACACATATAGCGTCGTTCTGAACTGTCATGTCAGTCAAAAGCTCTATGTGCCACACTCGCATCGGCAGCCTTTGCGCGGAGAGTCGTGTACTTTTTGAAACCTAATCATAGTTTGATGTTGTATACTTATTGTTTATATAGAGTATATTCTGTTCGTAGCTTATATAGTACTCAGATGTTTTGCACTCTCTGCATCGACTTCGTCGACGTACCGAAAACTCGAGACTCGCACACGCGGTCGAAAGAAGGGTCATGCGCAGAGTTACACGACGGTCTGTCTTGCTGCCACAATGTGAAAGAAGTTTGTGACGATCCCGACACTGTCAGTATGTTACGCATGGTTTGGCCGAGGTCAGAACCTCAGTGCTGGAAGTCTCGGCGTCAGCATGATTGATGTTGGGTATACACATATACGACATGATATTAAAGGCCTGTGTTTTTCATTCTAGATGTATGGTCCCATAACGATAGAAATCACTATATATCGTTATTTTCATACCAAAAAACACCGGCCTGTATTCCGACGCACTCTCCAGAAAGAATATATACACACACATGATACCCAACCCACTGCAAGGATGGTCGTTTGCAACCTGGTCGATCGTAGGGGCCGAACTCTTCTGCTGGGACTGGATCAGGCTTTGCAGAAGTGCGTGCTACCAGACTGCCGCAGCAGGCGCCGGTTTTTTCCTTGCTGCGCTGCTGTTGATGATATAAGTCCTGCATTACTTTAAGGACCCTAAACTATGGGAATTATGGTATATTCCTTATTGTGGGTAATGCAGGGTTTATGTCATCAACAGTAGCAATGTCTTAAACCCAAGAATCCCCTGAGTCGCAAGGACCTTCAAGTCTAAACCCTGAAACCCTAAATGCGTGCTGAAATAATAAGACTCGTAATGACTAGTTTATCGTAGGAATCAATCATCCTACATAAGAAGAACGATGATGTTGGCAATTGCAATAAGAACCACAGTAGGGGTTCTCCTGTTCGTTCTGCAGGTTAGGGTTTAGGTTTAGAGTTTTGAGACTTAAGATTTTAGGGTTCTCCGAGTCTGAAGCCGCAGTGGGTAGCAGGCATTGAGAGGAAGAAGCCGGAAAGCCCTAGGGGTTTTTGTTTAGGGTTTCCCAAACCCAACAGCTTAAACCCTCAAATACCGAATGTTGAATGTACTGGTGTAAGTGTCCGTCGCTTTTGACAGGCTGTGCCTTTTGAGATTTTGGTGGGGCCTTGCAAGCCCGAAATGGGCACGACAGGCGGAGTGAAAGTCCACTGCACATTCAAAGAACCCCTCACCTACCTCACCCGGTAGGGCATTGCAACGCAGCTGTGAGCATCAAGCCCCTAAACCCTAAACCCTAAACCGACAGCTTGTAGATAACAGATCTTTTCAACCTGGAAGATTCTGGCCTAGCCAGCTTGAGTCCAAACCTAAAGCCCTAAACCCTAGACCCTAAACCGTTGCCTAATCCCGAAACCCTAATTAAACCCTAAACAACCCCAAACACTAAACCCTGAAAACCCTAAACCCCGAAACCCTAAACCTTAAACCCTAAACACTGAACCCTGAACCTAAACTGCGTGATGGTTGGGGTATTTTCTTAGAAGGATCTAGGGTTCAGAGCGTCAGCATTCAAAACCCTTGGGTTCAGCGTTAAGTCTTCAGGGCGAAGTAATAGCACAGCACAACAGGGATCACGGTCTGGGGTTTAGGGTTTAGGGTTCAGGGTTTAGGGTTTAGGGTTCACAGACCACTCTGCTTGCACGAATGTTTTCACAAGTCACTAGAGGTTTGCAGGAGCAACCAAAGTGATAAGAGGAATGATGCGACTGCACTGCTAGCAGTGGCAATATTTAGCACGACGACCATACGAAAGCAATGCCACAAATTTTGGCAACCACGCCAAGAAGAAAGGATACCTTACACACCCTACACTTTAAGCCCTAAGAAAAAGAAGCGGTGTAGGAACTTGAGCGCAGAAGCATCGGACGGAGATCAAACCTGACGAATCCGAGATGCAACTCGGAAAAGCCTGCTAGGCTTGAGATCAGCGTGGGTAAGTGGTTTAGGTATTAGGGTTTGGGGTGTAGGGCCAGTATAAGTTTAGAGTTTAGGGTTTAGGGTTTAAGGCTTAGGATTTGGGGTTTAGGGTTTAGGGATTAGGGTTTCGGGTGTAGGGTTAGTATAAGTTTCCTTAGAGTCCCTTGTCCTTCCACCGGCTGGCAGGAGTGGTGCTTAGGGTTTACGGGTTCTTGGCTCCAGGGATCTAGTGCTGAGGGTTGCGCGCCTGCCCTCTGCCCTAAACCCTAAACCCTAAACCCTAAACCCCCCTAATCCCTAAACCCCTTAAGCCTCTAAACCCTAAACCCCTAAACCCTAAACCCCTAAACCCTGACCCCCTAACCCCTGAACCGCTAAGCCCATAAACCCTCTTGGAGGGAGGTCGCTGATATCATGCGCAGAGCTCGAGGGGGAGCCTTTGGGTCGCTTTGGGTCTAGGGTTTCGGGTGTAGGGTTTAGGGTTTAGGGTGTAGGGTTTAGGGTTTGGGGGTGTGTCGGGTTTGGGCTCCGAGCGGACTCCGAAGTGCTGGGGGCTCTGTACTTGGGAGTCTCTGGCATTATCAGGGGCTGGAGCTTTGGGCAGAGGGATTGAGCTTCTATGGCTTACTTGGAGGATCATGAGACTGAGGAGGTATGATGATGAGTACCGTAATCGGGGTTAGAAGTACTTGTGAGTAGAAGAGCTACCCGAATAATGAAACTAGTTACCAAGTCCCGTGATCCTGTAAGTACCCCAAAACCGAGGACATGGTGGACCTCTACACGGGCACGACTGCCCAGGAGATGTTCCATGTGAAGTTCGAGGCAAGAGCGGACATGTCTGCTCGAAGCCGTGCCAATGTAGGGGCCTAAATACTTACCAATACTATTTTGCATTCTTGGTACGGCAGTCCGCCAGAAGAAGAAGAATACTATTTTGGGGGTTCCCTACATTAGTTATAGTCTATGTACCCCAAAACCCTATTCTAATCATGAAGGCCATTATGTATGGCGGTTGTCAGAAGTGAAGCATTTTCCATTGCCCTTTCTTTGTAATATGTTACAGCATACTGTACGATATACTATATGCTATGTACAGCATGCTACATACTATATACTTATGTCCTATATACTCTATACTTTATACCATATCCTTTATACTTTATACGCCCTATACCCTATACCCTGTACTGTACTAGTGGGTTGTCGCAACAGGACCCGGAACCCTAAATTTGGTTTTCTCAAACCAAGTTCTTCTTGTATTCCACGATTTGTTGCTTATGGAATCTTGGCTAAAGCCCCCAACCCAGCACTTCAAGAAGGCATAATGTAGCATACTTCAATGTAATGTAATACATTGTAATATATTGTTATGAAACATAGAATGCTATCTTATATATACCGTACTTGGCTTTACTATACTATGCTATACGAAAAGCGAAATAAACTAGACCCAACTCTACCATGCTACACTACAATACACTACACTACACAAGACGAGACTAGATACTAGACTAGGCTATAACAGTTTAATGGAATAGAATTGAATAGAATATAGTATAGTTCCAGAAATTTTGATATAATATAATACAAGATCATAAAAAGATATTGTCAGATGTATGCAAAACATGGTATACTATAGCAAGATAATGTATCGCATGCTTATAAATTACAGGCTTCTAGATCACAGCGCTATTGCATCGTCACAACCAACTTTATTTGCCTTATGCGTTTCATGGTTGTTGTTATCCTCACCCCTACTGAATTGCAACAATCGGTACTTCGTACTAGCCTTTTACTGCGCGAGTACACCGATTATGCTTGGGTTTTCTGGCGGGAGCCGTGCCCAGGAGATTGCCCCATCATCGGAAGGCTTTGACAGAGTGGCGTGGCCGATTTAACCCGGAGCTCCACATGCCGAAAGAAATCCGACTCCCCACAGTACTTAGCATAAACCCTGAAACTAGGGGCATCGCGCTCAGGAACTTCGAAAAGAGTTTCGGACACGGACATTTGCCACAACAGCCGTTAAGTGAACTTCTGATGAGGAGGTGACGCCGTCTTCCATGTTAATACCATTAGCATCACCGATCACGACCATCACTCTCACCCTCACCCTCGCCCTCACCCTCATCCTCATCTTCATCCTCGTCATCATCATCATCATCCTCATCATCATCATCATCGTCACCATCGTCATCATCATCATCATCATCGTCATCATCGTCGTCGTCATCATCATCATCATCACCATCATCATCATCATCATCATCATCATCACATTGTAGTACCTCACCATCACCATCGCCATCGCCATCACCATCACCACCAGCATTATCATCATTGCCTGGCTAGCAGCATCAGAATCAGCAGCAGCAACGACACCCGCAACGCAGCAGCCTCATCATTAGCATGATCGCAGTCGTCAGTACACTCTTCAAAGTTTCACCTACTTCGTGTCTTGTGCACCCCACGCTCTAACTACAGGAAGATTTTTGTTGTGGGACCGCGCAAATCAACAATCCATGCTGCTAGACTTAAGCCTCAAGAACTCAAGAAGAGGCTGAAGGTGCCGGCTTCAAGCTTCTCTGCGGTCTCGACCTTTCCTGAGCTCTCTTCATGCACACACAAAAGGGTCCCCAACTTCTTGAACCCAGAGATCCCGAAACCCCTTCAGAGCCTTCACATCTCGAGGTGGTCCAGAGCCTCTTCCATTTCCTCTTTGCGCCCATGGTCCCAGAAGCAGATCTGCAAAGGTCATGGCAAGCAGCCAAGGTCGGCCGGCCGGGTGGGTGTTGGGGTTCAGGCTTAAGGCTTTACGGAGTGCAAGGTTGAGGGGTTGAGCTTAGCGGTCTTGGGGTCTCAGGGTTCGGATTTGGGACGAGGGCTTCAAATTCGAATGTTTCACGTCAGTGTTGGATCAGATTGAAGGCCTCAGCTTAACGCATGCTGCGTTGCAGCCCCGGCGTTTAGCGTTCTTGGGACATTTAGGCAAAACCTACCACGTCATAATGCGAATGGTCAGAGAAAGCAACCTGGCACATGCGCTTCGTCGTGGTCGTCTTCGTCGGGAGCGCGAGGTGGAGGTTGGTGGAGACTCGTCGTCCTCGTTGCAGCAGCAGAGGTTTGTGTCTTCTTGTCTTTGTGATGGGGAGGATGGGTGAGGGAAGTAAGCGTCCGAGGAGTCTAACGGCCTCAGGTGGAGGACCTAAACGTGGACTCCAACTTCACGGACGCGATTGCAGAAAATGGCCACGGCAACGACGACGAGTGTCTCAAGGACATTTCGGTTCATTGCTAGGCCGAAAACCTACTAAAAGCCCAACCCAAGCACTCTGACCCACCCCTGGCAACACGAGGCCGGTCAAGAAGCCATGATGCGGCTGGACCCGCGCGTGGTGCAGCAGCTCAAGGACGGGCTTTCTCTTCACGTTGCCAGGAACGGAGACCCAAAGGCAAGTGTGCGAATTGTATGTCGAACCCATCAACCCTCAACTACCATCCTAGCTCTGCTTTTTGACATGGTTCTGGCCTTCTTTTCTGTTATCTTCCAATCCTATGAGCTGACAGCTGCACAGCTGCATGAAACTTCCAGAAAGCCTTTTCAGGCCTAGGCTTTGGGGTTATAGGGTTTGGGGACTAGGGTTTGGGGTCGTGCTCTCATGAAGGACTGGCAAGCGCTCCTGGGATACTCAACTGAGAACTGGCCGGACCCTATCATCGGCTGAGTGGCAAAAGGATCGCCGCGGCTCCTAAGTCCTACACCGTCAGGGACCATCCTAGGGATGCGTTCGCAAAGTCCATACAACGAAACCGGGGCGTCGGCGCTTCGCGTTTTCAAGCTGCAGTCGGGTGCGAGCAGATGTTTCGTGTAGCAGAGCCGTGAGTAGCGCTTTGGTCTTTTGGGAGGTTCTCTAAATAGGGTCCTGTTTTAGGCGGCACCCTTATAAACAGCACCCTAGAACTACCGTTTCGGCACAGACCTTGGAGGTTCCGGGGCTCTAACACCTCATGGATCTTCTTTTCCTCTTTTTTTTTGACTGGAGGACCGGAAGGTGCATGAGCAGGGACTTCACAGGTCAGCCAACCCGACACTCCAAAACCTCGCGAAGCCCAAACTTTCGGCTCTGAGCCCTACGCCTTCAGCCCTACAATGCCAAACTCTGTACCCGGCGCTAGCCCCGAAGCGCTAAACCACAAAGCCGAAACTCTCGACCCAGAAGCCTTCAACCCTAGGCTTTTGGGAGGGTTCATGGGAATGGGACCTCCTGAGGTCCGATCTGCTGCTTTCTCGCCAGACGGCACCGACCTGAGTGTAGACTTGGGGGGGATGGGGGGGCGGTGGGGCGGTGGGTTGAGGGTTTCGAAGTTGAGGGTTTGGCTCGTATGGGTTTCGGTTGAGGGAGGCTTCAGTAGGGTCCTGGCTTCGAGGTTTAGAATTTCGCACTTGCTTTGGGGTCAGGGCCAGCGGTATGTTTGGAAATATAACTGTACTACGCGTTCGCGTACAGCTACAGCGGAACCAACAGATCAAGCCCGGATTGTAGCAGCCCGATCAATTAATAATGCTGTTTTTAGGGTTCATTATGTTGCAACCCACCCCAACGCCCTATTCCAGATTCCAGATAGTAGAGTCCCTGCCATTAGTTAAGGAAGCTACCACTAACAGTTTGAGTACGATTGGAGCAAGACCTGCCTAAACCCCGAAACCCTAAACCCTAAAGCCCTAAACCCTAAACGCCGAGACCCTAAACCCTAAACCCTACACCCTGAAACCCTAAACCCTAAACCCTAAACCCTGAAACCCTAAACCCTAAACCCTAAACGCCGAAACCCTAAACCCTGAAACCCTGAACCCTGAAACCCCAAACCCTAAACCGCGAAACCCTAAACCCTAAACCCTGAAACCCTAAAGCCCTAAACCCCAAACCCTGACTCAACCCGAGTCCTCGAGGTGAGGCCGGGGGCGTTTGCTTCTGTGAGGTCTGGGAGCCATCAGCTCGTCAAGCCTCAAAGGGGGTTTAGGGTCTAGAGGTGTTAACATAGGCCTACATAATTCCCAAGACTATTTTTTGGGGGGGTTCCTTACTATAACTATAGTATAATATTCCACCAAAGCCCTATTCGAATTATTAGGGCCCCTACATTAGATGGGTTTAGGATATAGGGTCTAGGGCCCTTTCCAAACCGTAAGCCCCAGGCCCCCGAAGCCATAAAGATGGCAGGCACCATCATCGGTTCTGCATCCTACGACGGCACCGTTCGGCTTTGGAGCGTGACGGGCAAGTGTCTGAAGATTTTGGAAGGCGAGGTGGTCTGATGCTCACCCAATCCCCCCTAAAGCCCTTAGTCACCCGACACTTCGAGTAACCCCTGGTAGTATCCTTGTAGTAGCGGTTTAGGGTAACCCTTATAGTCTTATGGTAACCCCTTGGTAGTATCCTTAGAATTAGCGGTTTAGGGTAACCCTTATAGTCTATTTCGTAACCCTAACCCTTATAGTCTATTTCGTAACCCTTCTAGTAAACCCTAAACCCTAAACCAAAACCCTAAACCCTAAGCCCTAAACCCTAAACCGATTCTAGTAGCCCTGACAGTCCTCGACCCCAATCCCCTTGGCCCCCTTGGCATCTCGTGAGTTCGAGGCTCCCAGCCCCGAATCCTCATTGGGTCTTAGGGCTTAGGGATTTAGGGGTTTAGGGGTTAGGGGTTAGGGCTTAGGGATTTAGGGGTTTAGAGTTTAGGGTTTTAGGGTTTAGGGGTTTAGGGTTTAGGGGTTAGGGTTTAGGGTTTAGGGGGTTTAGTATTTAGGCCTCAGGGTTTAGGGTAGTTCTCGTCGTTTCCAGGTCCCCAAAACAACGCGGCAGCCTTACAAAAGGGACCCTACAAGGAACCCTAACTTAGAGAACTGCCCTCCCCGACGGCAGTGGGCCACCAGGCCCAAGCCTTGTGAGCCTTTGATCCCACCCCCTTTTCAGTTGAGGGCTTAGGGTTTAGGGTTTAGGGCTTAGGGTTTCGAATCCCCTAAACCCTAAACCCTAAACCTAAACCCTAAACCCTAAACCCTAAACCCCTAAGCCCTAAACCTAAACCCTAAACCGTAAACCCTAAACCCCTAAACCATTTTTTAAGGACCCGACATGCCTTGACCTTCAAAGCGCAACTGGAAGCCCGAAGCCTTTGTTTAGGCCTTGGCGTCCCGATCCCCGGGGTTTCAAGAATCCTCGTGTAACCCGGAACCCTGAACCCTGGTTTAGGGTTTAGGGTTCAGGGTTCAGGGTTTAGGGTTTAGGGTTCAGGGTTTAGGGTTTAGGGCTTGGGGTTTGGCTAAACCCTGAACCTTAACCACTCTGAGTTCTCGGCTGGTGCTTCGTCATCCACAGATCTGGGGTGCCAGTCGAAGGGGTATATTTAGGGCTATGTGGGTCTCGCCGTGAGGTTTAGGATTTAGCCGTTGGGGTTCTATACCGAGTTGTAGATTGCTTGCCTGGGTTGATTTGCGTGTGCTGATGGCTGCTGATTGCACTGGTCGGTTTCCTGATTGAGCTTTGGAGAAATCGTTTCCCCTTGGTAGCTTTAATTCAGCTGGATATCGTTAAGACGGATCGCGAGCAACTCTCAAAGCTTTTTTGTTGGACGCTGAGGGCCCCAACAACCTGTACCTAGCAACTGATCCCCGAAGCCCTAAACCCGAAGAACTTCTAAACCCTAAACCCTAAACCCTAACCCTAAACCCTAAACCCTACTATCCTGCAACCTTTGCGGCCTTGTGCCTACCCCAGAACAAAACCCTAAGGCCGAACACCTACTCCCCACCTGAGACTCCAAACCCCGAAGCCATCTCAACCCGAAGCCCTGAATCCCAACCCCCCCCCCCCCCCCAAAAAAAAAAAAGCCCTGTTGTAGGGCACGATGGCGCTGTGATCTCGGTGGCCTTCATTGAGGGGTGAAGCAGCAGGCGCAACGGGAAGGTGGGGTAGAGGGTTCACGGGTGTAGGCATGGGTTTCAGAAGTGCAGCATTGGTAGCTTCCTTTTGACTGCTGGTGGTGCAGCGCCCAAATTCTCGCAAGCCTGACGTACCCAAAGACCTTCAGATCCGGTCCATCCGTCCCATGGCTGACAGTTTCTGGGAGAGTCACGGGGGATCAGTGCCAGGTGCTTCTGCCGCCATGCATCTGGGATCCTGATGCGAGTCACACGGAGAACCGGTTTCGGAAAGTAGGGACTAGGGATTCAGGGATAGGAGACTCCGCATGTGTCCAAGGATCCATGCTTTGGGAGATCGCAGCAGAACTTTTTCAAGCGACAGCACTGGGAGGCGAGGTTGCGGACTCGTCCTTTCGATGTCACTACGCAATAAGAAGTATCCTGTCAGCTAGAGGCCATGGTCCGGCCATGGTGTTTTGGCTTGGGGTGCAAGGCTTCATAGAATCAAGCACCAAGCGCGGAGCACCCGAAACCCCGAACGCTGAAGGCCCTCAACCCTAAACCCTAAAACGCTGACCCATAAAAGCCCGGAGCCCTAGAACCCGAAAGCCCCGACCCCAAAGCCTAAACGGTAAAAGGCTCAAAGCCTGAACCCTCAAAGTCTCAGTCGAAGAACGGGGGTTGTGTTTGAACTTTTGGAACTTCCAGGCAGGACAAAGAAGTGAACCTGAAGGCTAGCAAATACGACATAAAAAAGCTGCTTTTATAATGAGAGCCTGAATAAGTATAGTAAGGAAGCCCCAAAGGACACTCTTCTTCTGCTCTGATGCTACTGCTAGCACTCATCGTGATAATTTTGATCGTGGTGGTTTAGGGCGTTGAGGGTTTAGGGTTTAGGTTTAGGATGCTTTTAGGCCTGCTGGGACTGGTTTTCGATAGCAGGAAAGCTGCGCCAGGGGACGAGAATCTGTGCCGGTATTTCGGCCCCCCAAAGCACACAGTGCACATCCCCAGACGCCGCCGAGATAGGTGGCAATTCGTGCAACGTTTGGCGTATAAAGATAATTCGAGTGCCAATGCGCTTCAGCTCCCGCCCATGCGAACCTTCTCCCGGAAGACCCCGAGACCTAAAGCGCACCCTGAGCCGCAAGACACCCCCGAGACCTTGCACTGAGGATACCTTGAGCCCCTAAACCCTGAGCTATGCCCTCAACCCTGTTACATCCCTAAAGCGGACCTACGCGCGCCCTTCATCTTCTTCGTATGCCGAACCACAAGAATTTAGCGTTTTAGGTTCCATCTTCTCTGTATGTTCCTGGGGCTAATGTTGGGGTTTTGGTGAGTCGACATCACAGCGATCTGAGCCATGATGGCACTCATCCTCTTCAGAAGCATGATCCCAGAGGCTCCAACACCCCCTTACTTAAGGACTCTACCTGATGCCTCAAATCATACTTGTTCTAGGGCTCCTCTTATAAAAAATAAGGTCTACTGCTTTAGTAAAGGGGTCTTGGAGTCTCTGGGATCACCATGCAATTAGTCCAAGGCATAGACGTTCTGGGTCCTAAACCCTGGGACTCGAAGCTAAGAAGCTAGCCGAGTTTATCTGCCCGTTGGGTAAGCCCGTCATTAAGGGTTTAGGCTAGGGTTTAGGGTTTAGGGTTTAGGGGTTAGGGTCTAGGGTCACTTCGCCCTCCATCCCAAGACCCGAACCTTGCTGCCGCGCACGTTTTCCGAGTTCTCCTGCAGCTTGCTTGTTTGACTATCGGGCAGGCTAGCTGGCGGCAAATTTCAGGAGCA